AAGTTATTTTCCGTTATAAAATATAATTAGTTATTTTTTCATTTAATATAATATTGTATAAAGCAAATACATGGAAAAAAATTGAAAAAAAACTGAAAAAAATTTGAAAAAAATTGAAATTGAAACTTGAATAAAGATAAAATAAATAAGAGGAGCTTAAAGATTGGATTTAAAGCAATTGGAAGAAAATAGCGTTGATGTGATCGAAAAAAATCAGAGTACGAAGGTGAAACGTTCTGTGGATCACCGAGACGATAATGGATGAAATGCCAACGGAGAAGGTGAAACGTGAAAACGGAGGGTTGGCGTTGGGGAAAGACAGAAGGGCGCTCGCTTAGAGGGTGCTCGCGAGGTTGCCTAGTTCGGCAATAGAGTTTGAATAATGCAGACTTGCACAACGCTGCTTAAATGTGATCGGTTCACCCCCTCTTTCCGTTCACCCCCTTTATCCTCTTCTCACCGATCCCTTTAGAATCTCACTCTTGGTTCGTCTAAGAGTACGAACTAAGATTGATTTTGGATTGGGTGAGAATTGGGAATAGTGAGTGAGTGTTACTCTCTAGCAGCCTTATCCTCTTTTCCTTTTTCTTCTTCCTTTCTCTCTCTCTCTTTCTCTTTCTCTCCTTTTTCGTTGTGCCATCTGATTTTTTTTGTGTTCTTCCATTTCCTTCCCATATACATGTGTAGACATGCGTTTATACAGCTAGAAGCAATATGTTTATGTAACTGGAAAAGACGTTAAGGATGCACTGTATTTACAATTATTAGAAAAATTTATTATCTTTTTTATTTATTTATTATCTAGTGACTAAAAGGAGAAAATATAAAAAAGCCATGTATCATTTTATTTAAATTTGAAGAAGACAATTATTTATAATATTACATAAAATATATTTTGCAAAGCCATATTTACAATGATAATTTAATTGATGATCCACTTTGATCTGATTTTATATAATTATTTTATTTATTTATTTTTTATTATTTCTATTTTCTATTATACTGTACTATTTACTTCTTTCTTCTTTCGTACTTTTGTACTTTTTGTATCGCATTTAATTGTACAATGGATATTAACATTTTCATCGTCGCATTCATTTCGCATTCGCGGCTATCGTTCGCTTTCACGCTCAATTTACATATTTCGCTGCGTCTGTAATCACCGCCGGCACCGATGGAATTATGGAAAGGACGTCCTTTGTGGACGTGACCGTATATAAAAGCCTGGTCTCTGAGCGAGATTTATCCTGCCGACGATCAACCCTCCCAGGGGAGTATAAAAGTGCCAAATTAGAGTGGTACAGCGACTGGGCCAGTGCCGTGCGTATATAGGGCACGGCGAAAGCCCGCATTGCGGAATGAGAGATCGCCTATCGGGCTATCCCCTACTCTTCGCGATGCCAATTTGCGAGAGATCGCAATTCTAGATAATGCGAGAACATACGAATCAAAATCGGTCATTTTAATTTAATTCTCATAGAATTCATTATGCCCTTGACGACGTGTCTAATAACGGACGCGTTGTTCAATAAGATATATGTTATATTCTTGTTCATTATTCTCATTTCGAAAAGTCTGGCGAGCTCTAGTAAAGTTAGTTTATAACAAAGATACCGTAAGCGACCGTGGAATGTATATTTATCAGACTGCAGCACATTCTCCGAAGGTTTGCTATTCCATGATTATTTTAAATCAAGTCCATTCCGTCTTCTGTTCGTTTATTATTAGCACTGCGTTATATAAGCTTGAGTTGCACTGCTGAGATGCATATTCCGATAATTTCAGGAAAATAATCTTTTTCTTGCAGTGCAGTTTTAAAATTTAAAAGTTTAAAAGTTTAAAATTCGATGCTCTCTAAATACGCTGTACATAAGTAAAGGGAAAGATGTCAAGCTCAATTAAAATTTTTAAGGTGTCTAATATCTAAATATATTTACTGTCGGATAAACCAGAATAGTAGCGAATAAATATAGGTAGTATCGATATATCGTTGTATCGTTGTAACTAGCGATGATATCTGGGTCTGCAGCGGCGCCGATCGGAACACCGCATTGCAGACACCCTTTCACCGACAACACCGATATCGGTATTTTCACTGACATATTCGCTATATTCGTGAAATTTGTGAGATTTCACAACCTTTTTATGTCTCGATAATTCAAATCTGATTATTGCAAAAGTGCCTTTTATTCTGTAATTTTATTCAAAAATTTTCCCTTTTTATTTCTATCATTCTTTTTCTTTTATCATCTATTATTATCTCCTTTATTATTTTCTCGACAATTATACCGACATTATGCGCATGACTGCACACAGCAGTCAAATTAATTTTTAGAATTCTTTCTATTTCTTTGGAGATCTCGTTTGATGTTTGCGACAATGTAGCTTCTTAGCAGAGAAAATGACGCGAGAACGAGGCGATAACTTCTCGTAATTGCTCTACCGCAACTCGATCACAGAAACGCAACTATTTAATCGCGGCTGAGAATTGCCGTGTCTGCGAACTGGAGAAGGTAAAGGGGATAATGAACGGCGGTCTACATTTTCAAAGTGATTCGAAGTGCAACGTGCGTAATGAACGGCGCTACACATCGAGCCGGCTCCCGCGAGATCGATGCATCAATAATTTCCTATGATGATCGTAGCTCATTTGACTCATCGATATTATTTATCGTGCGGAATTTCGAATAAAACAACGAACAGTGGAATCACGTTAAAAGCTTTCTGGCTCTTTTCGCCAAAACGATTCTATGTTTCCTCCTGATTGCTGTCTGTACATATCTCTCTCTCTCTCTCTCTCTCTCTCTCTCTCTCTCTCTCTCTCTCTCTACGTACGTACGTACGTACGTACGTACGTACGTACGTACGTACGTACGTACGTACGTACGTACGTACGTACGTACGTACGTACGTACGTACGTACGTACGTAGTACGTAGTAGTACGTACGTAGTACGTACGTACGTACGTACGTACGTACGTACGTACGTACGTACGTACGTACGTACGTACGTACGTACGTACGTACGTACGTACGTACGTACGTACGTACGTACGTACGTACGTACGTACGTACGTACGTACGTACGTACGTACGTACGTACGTACGTACGTACGTACGTACGTACGTTACGTTAACGTTAACGTTAACGTTAACGTTAACGTTAACGTTAACGTTAACGTTAACGTTAACGTTAACGTTAACGTTACGTTAACGTTAACGTTAACGTTAACGTTAACGTTAACGTTAACGTTAACGTTAACGTTAACGTTAACGTTAACGTTAACGTTAACGTTAACGTTAACGTTAACGTAACGTAACGTAACGTAACGTACGTACGTACGTACGTACGTTACGTACGTACGTACGTCGACTCTACTCTACTACTACTCTCTCTCTCTCTCTCTCTCTCTCTCTCTCTCTCTCTCTCTCTCTCTCTCTCTCTCTCTCTCTCTCTCTCTCTCTCTCTCTCTCTCTCTCTCTCTCTTCTTATCGTCATTCTACTCTTTTGCCTTTCATCCGCTCTTTTGCTATCCCCCGGCTCCTATCTGTTGCTTTAGTCTTCTGTAGCCCAACATTCCAGCGCTGAAAAGCGCGAGCACGAGCGCACGGCGAAAGTGATAGAAAGGCAAACGGATGAAACAGAAAGAAGCACCGTGGAAATAAATTTCCCAGCACAGTTCATGAAGAGTGCCGGCAACGTAACACATCGAAACGCTCTCTTGTACTCTCCGTGTGGTGCAAGAGTTCCTACGATGCGGGAGGGGGGGGGGAGAGGGGAGGAAGGGGAAATGGGCAAGTTCTCGGATAAAAAGGATTAATTGCTACCTCCATCGTTATCCTTTTCCTTGATAAAAAGTCAATACAACGGCTCATTATTGCAGACTTTAGATAAGAAACGAGCGCGATCGAGGTGGAATCGATCGAAAGAAATATTTCCGCTCATAACGCATACTATTCCGAGAGGGAATAACGACTTTAACGACCCGCTTGATATAGTCTTCTATACATTTGGAATTTTTTGGTTCGTTGAGAATGTTAACTGTCTTGAAAAATGTGGAAAAGTCGAAAAATATGAATTGGATACATTTACATATTAATACAACCGTTCATTGTTTACTATAATATAATATTAATATTAATATTACTTGTATTCTAAATTTAAAAATATGATATTTTTTTAGAAATTTCCAACATAAATATACTTTTCAAATGTATATTAATATAAATTGATCTAAAAAACCAAATCAAATAAAATATACACTTGTAATGATAAAGTCGGTTCTCTTTTTCCTTATTAACTTTTTGCAGTTTGTTTCTCAGTGACCGAAATCAGTGCACGCGTACGATCGATCGTTCACTATAAAACACTAGAACGCGAATTCGCCCCGACGACCCTCAGACCACAGTGGCGAAAGTGAATTTTTGAAATCTGCTTGGTTTAGACGTGGAAACGTGCCGAGAATCCCGACGACTTGATGTTGCTGGTCAAATTTTTATCACGTTTATTCGCGAACTTATCGGTCAGAATGAGGCGATCGATAGGCGTCATGGCGTCTGAAGCGCGTTTTACGTTGCAGAAAGAAGACCATTACAGACGCCGATTATTGCTAGTAGTCAGCTCGGATGACACATTTACGAGCGAAATAAAAGTCTGACAATAGAGGACAGAGGGTTGTAACGGGGAACGATGGCATGCAGTGCATTGGGAAACAAGTCAAGCCCGCGGAATAATATCTCGCAGACAAAATGTCATTATAAAGAAAAATCTTTTAAATATGCATATGCAGATAATCGAGATAATCGAGGTCATGCGAAAATGAGTATACTAATGACCGAGACATGATGTACGTTTTAGATGGGCAAGAGTAAAGTTTTGAAACGTTTTCGCGCGAAATAATTTCATAGCAATATTTAATACCTTCATCTGTTTACTTTATTTGTATTTTTTAAATTTATATTCTTGATATATAATAATTTCAATCTTACATTTATTTCAGAGCGCTGGCTGGGGAGAATGGTCACCGTGGTCGAAGTGGTCGCCATGTACAAGGTAAATTATCGATCATTGTAATTTATGTCGCTTTAATTTTATAAATTTTTAAAGTATTCCAATAAATCTCATTTTGATCACAGTAATATATGGAATATCTTTTAATAATTTCTGCTGCCTCTACGACTAAAAGCGAGCTTTCGCGATTGCTGCAAAATGGAACTTACTTTAATGTCATGTTTAGCTTGACTAAAATGTTATAGAAAAAAATTTGTATTCAAAATTATTTTACTATTCAATGTTTCCTTTAGTATTTTAATATTCACATTTGTGTACACATACACATACACATATATACCCACACATACACGCACGCATACACATACACACAGAAAATAAAAGTTCTCATTTCTCGATGAAGGAGAGCCATATTCTAGAACAAACTACGGTACGGAGCACGGTACATCCGGCGCATTTATATTGTTTGGTAGTCGACAAAAGGGCGACAAAAGGACGATCTTGGCGTTGGTCTCGTCTCCTCCGCATGCAGGGCATGATCCAATCCCGCGATTTCTCATCGCCTGTTTCGTGCGGTTCTAATATTGAGTCCTGCCGGTAACACAACCAGAATGTTAAGCGTCCCGGAACTCATTTTGGCGGCCACCACCGGCAATAACTTTGTTCTCAACTCACCCCGCTCGTTTTTCAGTTATACAGAAGTGGGTAGAACTAGGAGACGTTGCAATTTATAGCACTTACAACTTGCGAACTGCACTTGGTCGAGAAAAGCTTATTGTGTGATCTACAGCACTCTACTTATTGATGTTTCTACACCACCTGCATCTTTGTGAGCTTTTGTCTCCATTACAATTTCTGATATCGCCAAATTAATTAGATGTGCAATAATAATAATTATTATTGACGTTGCAACTGATTGTTACCGCAAATGATCACTCGTAAGAGTTGTGTTGTATATAATAATGTTGTCTTTAATTTAATTCAATTAGCTCTAAAATCATTAGTATTAAATAATGAAGAAGAATAGGCTTATAACATATTGTTTTTGGTACAGTATTTATAGGAAATTTAAAAATTAACTGCTCTGGAATATTATTTACATCATTAAAGCTTTGTAATTGGGATTAATCTGCACGCATAATGTATGCTACGTATTATTATTCCAATTAACTAATTGTTTGTGATTCGGTTATTGTTCAAAGCAGATAATTGCTATCTGTGTAGAATAATGCGATCAATACCGACTTCTCTAAAATTGGAACCAAGTCGTGATCAATTCAATTGGCAGTCCGTTTAATAACGATGGTTGCTGTATAAATAACTAATGCTCCTTTCCACGCATAGAAACAAAGACTCTATATACATATATAGTTAGAAATCTAGAGAGAGAAAGAGAGAGAGAGAGAGAGAGAGAGAGAGAGAGAGAGAGCTACAGCACAAACTACTTCAACTATTGATATTATTTGCAAAGCGCTATATTAAGAATACATATTTGGTTTACGCTCATTTCTCCATATTTAACGATCATATTTAACCGTTCCATTAGCTTTATTCTCTCTTGCTTTTGGAATTATGTCAATTTTAAAATTCTCTTGGCATTATATAATTATATTTAGCCTTATAATTATATTTTTTGAAATATAATTTTGTTTGAAACCGTCAAAGAATATCATTTAGAAGAAAAATAATCTGGAGAAGAAAATTTCGAAAAATATCTGTGTGTTATCTTCTTTAGCTGTATATTATTAAAATAAAAATTAAAATTAAAGTCTTGATTTATTTTAAAATCTAATAAAAAAAGAAGAAATTTCAAGTAACATACAAAAATCTCGTAAGCTCGACTTTAGTCAAGTTAGCATTATTATTTGTAAAAAATTTCAATTTATTCGATTAGTCATAATTGATAAGAGCTCTTGGTATCATAAGTGACACTTCTATTTAAGTGTGCGAATGTCTTTTGCACTCTCGAGCGGGACCAACTTATACTTGTTGAGGTAACGCAATTTCCAACGAATAAAGATCGCTCATGAAATTAGCATGAAGTAGTAAATTGAATTAACTAACTGCGTCGCGACGGCACGCGGTGGTGAAATGCAATTAAACTCTTGACGATTTCAGCGCGCCTTGATTATGAAAAGTTTATTGAATAAGCGTGCCTGGGAAAGACATCCGGTTGAAATTAAAAAAAATGTCGTTACGCTTAATTTGCTAATAAATTTTCCCGCTCTTTTAGGACGTGCGGTGGCGGAATCTCGCGACAACAACGTCGATGCAGACGTAGACCGTGCAAGGGGAAAATCTGGACTACCAGATATAAAATTTGCAATCCGGAGGTGAGTACATTCATGCTGCGCACAACTTGCTTACATATTTATATCGTATTTTGTTTTGTGCATCACGTGACGCAAGACAAACTGTCAACTTCGTTGTTTTTTTCTCTCTTACATAATAAATTTTGTCATATGACTTGTTCTGAAATAACAAATTAACAAGTGTCTACAAGAAAGTTAATAATAAAATAAGTTTAAATTTAAATAAATTTTTTAAACGAACAGATATCCAAAAAAAGTAAATTATTTTATCAATGAAAAGAATCCCAAGTTAAATAGAATCGCGAGTAAAGGAAGAAAGAATAGAGATGTATTTTTCTATTTTTTTTTATAACGTGTACATTTATATGATTATAAATACGTTGAATATAGGAAAAGAAATTGGGTGAATAATGCAGGAGTTAATTGCAAAAGCTTGCTCTTAAATCAATAAGCTTTGAAAGTGAGCAAAAATTTTCTACAATGGACTCTCCGTTCACCTTTAACGCGATGCGGAATATATCAGAAGCGTAAAAGCAGAATAGCGTACATACATATACCATACATATTAGCACATTCAAAGCGAATGTTACCAAGCGATGATGCGGCAAGCACGATTGATTTTCCATTATGCAAGTGTACAGAGAATGTATCTTAGATCTATCCAGCTTTTTATTTAGGAATTCTTTTACGTGCATCCGACGAGGCGTATGCGATCGACTTTATCTGAAATTCAAAAGAACACGCCTACGCAATAAATATCGATGTAATCGCGCACGCTAAAATATACACATACGCGCATATAATTTATAGCTCCAGCTACTCTTGTGTATTAATTGCGTATTCAATCGCGTTACGTTTAACAGTGACATCGCTATTTTACGCTCATTACGGGTGATTACTGAAAATCACCGTGGTGAGGTGATGCAGCCGCGATGATGAGCAATAATGCAAACGAATCGCGTCGATTGCGAATTAAATGCATTTATTGTCGCAAATTATTCTTAAATATTTTAGCCAGGCGTTCACGATACACGTTCAACATTCGCCGGCACATCCATGTTGTATCAACCGAGATGTAAATTGGATACATGATGAATTCGATATTGGTGCATAACAGCCGACAGCGTTTCTCGTGTGTAAGCACGTTCTGCATCGCGGCTAAAACCAATACGCACGCTCTGCAGTTATCCAGGTACCTCGACGTTACGGTATAGACGGAGATGACCCGACCTATATTCGTATCTGGAGCAAATTTCGGGGAGAATGCAGGTATTAAATAGTTCCACTTCGACGCGTATTTTGCCCAATCGATATCACCTAGGTCGATATTCTTCGCTATTCTCAAGCTCATTTAGCTCGAATGGATTATAGTGGAAGAGCGTGCTTAGAAGAATTAAAATTAGTCACGAAAATTCGGCTTGTCACTCGAATCAAGAGATTCAAGGAGCTAATTGCCGTTAATTTACATTTTGCTAATTTTGTTTTGTTTTCTAAAAATGCAATTATGTTTATAATCATATTTGCGTGTCTGCTAAGAGCGTCATAAAGTTTATTATATTTAATACTTTCGTATTTTCACATTTCTGCATTGTCTCCTTTTCCTTCTCTCGCTTCGTTATTTAATATCCGTCATTATAAACTACGACCGTTCGCATACTTGTAATTTTACTCTTTAGCTATTAAGGTAATTTGCCTTCTTATCTTGACCTAAATCGACATAGTTAAGAAAACAGACATTTTATCGTTGTTCTTAATTTATTTAATTATGGACCAGATATTAAGAGTGCTTTTTGTTATACTCGGAATTTCGAATAAATCAAACGTCGATCTAGGTTGACGTTCAAATCGATCAGAGATAACACCGGCTTCATTCTCTCTCGTGTGTGACCATGACGTGATGGCATGGCGACGCTTCTTTCCGCGAGTGCATTTCACGATACTGCAACCCCATGTATTAGTTTCCGCGTCACGTATCAATCAATTGCTGGAACTACGGTTCAATAATACGTGTTTTAAAAAATATATATATATATATATATTGAACCATAAAATTAGAAAATGTTTTTATATTTTATATATGTATAAAATACAAAATACAAAGTATGTTCCAATTGATTTTGTAATCTTTCTTTCAACGCAGAAAAACTTTATTGTTTCTCCGTCCAAAATTGTTAAAATACAAATTTGTGAATATTTTCTGCGCTGTATTAAAGTAAACCGCTAAAAATTGCATCCGCGCATTGAAGTTCCGTGCCATTAGAGCCACTCTGTTATTAAATTTCCAGATTCATCAGAGGGCGATTAGCAACGCCACGCTCGCCACTTTTCAGACCGATTAACACGCTTGTCGCATTAACGCGACGACGCTCGACCCAAATTGATGTCGTTAACCGACTCGCTCAGCACAACGGCGAGCGGATCTCTCTCGAGAGATCGTATCCCGAGTTCTCGTAAAATCGTAAAAGTGCAAAGCACCGTCGGTCCCAGATGGGAAACGCCTTTGTCGCTGAGCGGCCGCGCGACCGACGAGATGTGACATTCCGCCCGCGGGGCGACGTTCGCCGGCGCTTGGCTCGCACAAGAAAATTCACTCGCCTATGTTCATACACGTGCCCACATGCAGGTCGCAACAAAAGGTATCGGCGCGACCGACTATAAAGCCATGTCGATCTTGTCGAGGCGCCTCGCCACCCTCGGATTCTTTCACCTTTTCGCGCTCATCCCGCTCGCACGCGTAACGCGTAATATTGTTTCACTTAATCGGACCGAAACATGTTATTGTCCCTTACCAACGGCGATGAACTAGACTTCACTCGCAAACTTACATTTCCGAGTAATACGAAGATATTGCGCATCATGACAAGGAATATGTTAAATTAAAGAAAACCCAATATGAATGTATATTATCGTTTCTATTTATGTCTTTCTCTTTTGTATAGAAGAAGATATATTTATGTAATTTGTTAAATAATCAAAAATAAATAATAAAGATAACACTTAATTTTGTTTTTTTTTTGCTTTATTAACGTGCTTAAAAAAATAGCTATGACATAGTTTACTGATTCTTTTGCCGTAGCTTGTTTTATTATAAGTATAAATGGACAGAGAACGTACATTTTATCTTACTTTTGACAATAATAATAGTACTTTGTTATGAAATGCTAGAAATGCTCTCTATGCTGACGGGTTGTAATTATATAGAAGTTTACGATGTAAAATGCAGTATTATTACGCGCATGTATGCATATCGCGTAATCATAAATACATCGCACGATATACCTACTGCAAGACAAACTTGTTGACAAATTTGCATCTCCAGCTTTGCGCGGGTATATAAGAGCAGCTACGGAAGTGATGGAGGACAGGAAGAAAAACGCGAGTCCCGAGTTCGTCAGGTATTCCGTTCGCACGATGAACGTTAGCGGCAGCGGGTTTGAGTAGATCCCGCGAAATATTCTTCGCTCGCTGCATTAATCTTCCAGGATTATCCCTACGAGAATAATACGATAGTCTCATAATTTTCTTACGTTTTATACTAACTCTTTGGATTTCTTACGTATGCAGCGAAAACGAAGTATTTGCGAGCTCCACGCGTTTGCATATATATATATATATATATTTTTTTTTTTTTATTAATTTATATTTTTCTTATTAATGAAGATACGATAACTTTTAGGAATGACACAAACGAGGAAACATTCAATTATCTTGTTTTCTTCGTCTGCAAATATATCAATTTTATATTACGAGAACGAAATTTTTGCCGACGCGTTTCTAAAAATTTGTTGCATTCTCTCTTACGTCAAAATGACGTGGATTTTGTTCCCATCCGTGGGGCATCTCTCATTCAGGCTGATGGACAATTTTCCGTGAGCCATAAGTGCTGCCTCGCTTCTGTGCTTTTTATGATGTCACATCCAATCGACATCCATGATTGGTCAATAGCTCCATGACCCTCTGTATAAATGACCGTCCGTGATCCCGACAATTCTGATATTATCGGTGCCTTGCAGCTATTGCTATCGAAAAAGATTTGATTTATTATTACCAATGACAATTTTCTACTGCGGAAGACGAAGAAACTTATGCTTATACGAGAATAAGAAAAAGTGTAGGAAGAGTTTATACGACGAGAAGTTTGATTACGTTACAAAAAGTATAGAAAGTGTCTTTTTTTTTACAGCATTAGATTTACTGACTTTTTACGAAGCTCTTAGAATCCGCAGAAATTATAATTTTATTGTATACTTAACGAAATTATTGCTTAAAAAATTTTAAGAACTTTTGTCAAGCCCAAGAAGATTCTTATGCAAAGTTTTCGATGGATTTCTATTGGAGGTATAAGCGAAATTCCATTATGGAAATAATCGGACTAAACACAAGTTACGTTATCAATTTCTCGTGTATTTCAAACTTTTGTCGTGATTACGTACACGACCGCATGACGATCGCGAGTAGTCATATTTGCATTACCAGTGCAATTCGGAATGTATCCGGTGATTTATCGTCGATAGATGGTAAGGAAGAACTTTTAAATCGATCGTTCGCAGGTCGTGATTGTGATTCACCAGACGGTCGGAAAATTAATAGGTTTCGTCACGGAACAAGTCCTTTCCAAAGGGTTTTCGCAAAGTAATCGAAGGTTATCGCGGCCAAATATTAATTGCTCGACTCAATGGTCTTTGCTTAACGGGTGGTCTTTCGGGAGAGGTCGGAGACAATAATTCAGCGGCGAAATGTTGTAAATTTCAAGTTAAAGTCCAACTAGGAAGGAATTTACGTCCACGGAATACCTTTCCTTCGCCTCAACCCTTACTCCATTTTCCGTCGCTTCTTTCATTTTCTCTCTGCGTACAGCAATAAAAAAAGTGCCAAGCGAGAGCGCATACAAATGTGGATTTAAAGATTCAGTACTTCGTAAAGAGCGCTATGCAATTATTCCGTTTGTATTCAGCGCTTCGTTTTGCACGTATATAAATGTTGTAATTTTTCGTTCATGCAATATAATTATCATTAGATTA